GCTAGGATTGTCTGCTCGAAATACTCCGTGATGAGGCAAGTATGCGCCTGGTCGCTGAAGCTGTTGCTTTGGCACACATTCATACGTCCAAGTTCAATATATTCGTTCATAAAGGCTGAATACACGTCGCACAATCGTGAATCCTTTTCAAAGCGGCGTTCCATCCTCAAGAAACACGACTGAGCCACAAACTTTGATTTGCTGAAGTCGGCTCTGCGCGCAAACGGCAGACGCACGACAAATCTTCCAGGGCTATCACGGTAATGGCTTTGCAAAAAAGCTCTTCACAGCACTTTTTGTCCTCAGAAAGATGCGGTTTGGAAGGGACGTCGTCGAGTTCCCATAGCTTTGACCCGATACTTCAGATAGATGGCCCAACTGAAGCGTGAAACGGACCGAACGGTGTGACCATCATCGGCAGCACTCGACAACGTAGATCTCGTGAGAGTTCAACCGAAAACTGTCTTTTGAGCTACAGGAATTCCATCAGGCCCGTTGAAAATTTTTGAAGCTTACACATGCACCATGGTCCATCGAATGATCCTTCTTACAATTTTTCATCGGATTTATGATAAAACTTAGATTCTCAATATTTGTAGCATTCATCATAAAATTTTGGTAAAATGGAATGTAATAAGTCTTATAAACTGTATTCCCTGTATAAATATATAGATTAGTTCCCAGAAAACTGTGGAGATTATAGCGACGGGCAAGGACAATGGTTCCATGAAGACATCAGTCATATGGAGGAGCAAGGTAGATGAAATGTTGCGATGATGGATGTTGAAGAGTATGAGCCAACATAGAGGAACTATAGGCAAACGGCGACCTTTACGCCTGCAATTAATGCATGCAACACATTTTGCACTCTTTTCATTAACTTAACCCTGAAATTACCTTGATCTTGGCTTCCTGCAGGTCACTCAATAAAATATCAAAATTCCTCAGCTCTATAAACCTATACACAATCTTTTTTGCTTATTTTATCGCGTTCACTAGATGAAACCTTGACATGACCTTTAAATGTCCTTAAATTGGCCTTAATAGGTCTAGGTATAGTCAAAATGTATGTTATGCATGAGTATTTTCAGATTTCTTTATCTTTTTTCATTATTTGACTTTTAAATGACCTTCAAATTACCATTATGTGGCCGGATATAGTCCAAATGATCTCTGATTCAGATTCAGCGACCCTAAAAATATAAGTATGATTTTTTTCGAATATTTATATTGGATTCTATCAGTTTGACCTTTATATAACCTTGAAGGTGACCTCTTAAAGGACGTCCGACCAAAGACTTAGATTCAGCATCCTCAAAAACCCATGTTAGATTTTTTACTACTTTCCCTTTATGTGACCTTCAAATGACCTCTAAAATAATCCAACCTTGAAAAACCGACGCCGTATTTGGATTCAGCCACCCCAAAATCATAAAATAAACTAGGTACGGTCAGTGGACTCGAAAATTGTTTTCTCATAGAGGAAGCTTTGTAACGGACCGATTTTCGAATTTCATAACTAATAATCGTAGAGTGCTTTTACATATATATTCTTGAACTATTTTTCTTGAAAATTTGAAACTTGAAAATTTCTTGAAAATTTTTTTTATGTTAAACTTTAGGAGGGCGAGGGGTAGGGTGCTGATTATTCGATATTTTTTGATTTTTTAAAGTTTTTTTTTACAAGTAAAAAAATATTTATTTCTGAAATATACGTGTAACAGCTCACGACTTCGAGGGCATTTTGTGAATTACAAATGCCACGCGCTGTTTACTCAATTTTCCGCAATTACAGGTCTCACCTTTCAAACTCAATTTTCTCCAATTTGAAACAATTATCTAGTTGACAGAACCACTTTCGCCACATACATTTTTAAAAACAATATCGTGTCTATTTTTAAAATCTTTAAGCCAACCGCTCGTTGCGCTGAAATTATTTACATTTAGTAAGTCAGAGCGAGTTCTTTGGCTTTATATAGATAAAACGATTGGGCCGGAAAGTGGTATTTTTTTGTCAAAAAAGTTTTCCTGACAAATACAGAACTGAGAATAACGTTTAAATCATCACAATACTTTCACTTTCACTAAACGTTGTTTCTATTTTGAATCAATATTGTTATATTTTTGAGTTTAACTCTGTTTACATTTTGTATGTGTATTCAAAATAAAGTATTAATGAATGATTTCTAGACTATAATTTTTTTATTTTGAAAAAGTTGTATTGTAACGATGTTACGGGCGACGAGCGCGATTCGTTACGTATGAATGCTGCGTGTATGCGTATGAGAGTTGCGACCGACCGTGCAGGGTGAAGGAAAAGCCAAGCGCTCCTAACCTCTGTACGTCGCGGCAGAGTAGGCACGTGCGTTATCGACCGTACGAGAGATGCGGCGACAAGTCGCAACAACAGCAGCAGCAACACAACGACACGAGCGGGGAAAAAAGAAGACGAAGCGGCGAGACGACGACACGTGAAAGAACGGCCATTACGTGCCACCGCGAGACCAAGTACGGAGGCCCGTTGGAGAGTTTTCGAGAGAGTTCGGTTGAATGGGGAGGAGTGTCGAGTTTGTCGGTGAGAGAAGCTAGTGAGCGAGTCGCGAGTCCGAGGCGAAGCACCAGCAGCGGTGAAGCAGCAGTGAAGCCGTGCCGAGTACAGTGGCGTGAAAAGGAGCGTGTCTGAGGCGTAGTACACGGAGATCGTGAGCAGGTCCATTGAGACCGACCGTAAGCGAGGTTAGGTCGCCATCGAGAAACGGCGCCGATCCACGAGTCACCTACTCGGACGTAACCTCACCAACAGCCAGCAGCAGTCAGCGGATGATGTCGCAAGAGCGTGCCGAGGATCTCGTAAGCGTTAAGTCCGTTGTAATTAACAGTCATTCTTGGTCGGTCGTGTGTGCGTAAGCGTGCTGTGTGTCGTATGTCGTTGAACGAGCGAAGAGTCGATCGCGTAGGAAATAAGTCGAGTTGAGTAATCGTCATTGTGTGTGTGTGAGTAGTCCGAGGCGAACAAGTCGCAATTACGTCGCGCGCGTTTCGAGTTCGGAAGCGGCCATCTCGCAGTTCGTCGTGTCCGCTCGCGCGAAAGCAGCGAAGCCGTCGCAGCCCGAGCAACGTTAAGTCACTTCCGCGTGGTATTAAGGTCGCGTCATGAAGACGGGATTCGAACCGGGCACGTGTCGTGACTCGGTGATTCCCCTTGGACTTTCGCGAGCGAACTCACGTGACATAAGGCTTCGCGTACAGTGAGTCGGAGACGCGCGAGTGCAGGTGCGCGGCACGATATCGGGATTCGAACCGAGGTCGTATTGTAACTCGACGGTTTCCCCTTGGACCTTACTGCACGAACACGCGTCCGGTATTGTGACGTCATTGAAGTAATTATTAGACTTTTCTCTGTAATTTATCTGCATCCGAGTAATAATTCGACGACCTTTCTTGATAAATCGAATAAATAGTAACTTAACGTAAGACAATAAAAAATTGATTTGGATTTAAACTAACTCCCTCTGGTGGTCATTTCGCGAACCTTTCCGACTTTTCAGCACACAATCGCCGACGCTCGAGGCACATTTGGTGGAAGGCTCGACCCCCCTTCTGAGGTAAGACGACCAGTTAGGCTAACCGGAGCCTCCGAAATAAATAATTCGACGGCAGGGCGAGCACAGGTTGCTGCTTAGACCCTCACACGTCACAGTATTAACCCGTTTCGGGCCAAACGGACGAAATTTTAGTTATTTTTTCGCTCGCTGTAAACTCTGTGAAAAAATTATGTGAGAAATGTCAGAATAGTCATAACCGACGTAAAATTTTATGAACTTTTCGAATCTGGCGTCAGAATTGTAAAAAAAGTTGATGTGTAAAAGTTATGAACAATTAAACAATAAAAAACACGATTTTTTTGAAAAAAAATTTGATTTGATCCGAATTTTCGAGTCGAAACAGACTTGCTCTATAGGTCTAACACGTTTTTTTTGCGTCCATGGGGTGTAAACTTAAAAGTCCAATAGTTACGATATCGAAATTTAACATGGCGGACACGAAAATGGCGCTTCGTAGAAAAAAACCGTATATGAATGTAGTCAATTTTTTTATATGTCAACCAAGCGCCTAGGAACAAAACGTTATAGAGAAAATGTTGAATTTCGATATCGTAACTATTGGACTTTTAAGTCTACACCCCATGGACGCAAAAAAAACGTGTTAGACCTATAGAGCAAGTCTGTTTCGACTCGAAAATTCGGATCAAATCAAATTTTTTTTTCAAAAAAATCGTGTTTTTTATTGTTTAATTGTTCATAACTTTTACACATCAACTTTTTTGACAATTCTGACGCCGGATTCGAAAAGTTCATAAAATTTTACGTCGGTTATGACTATTCTGACATTTCTGACATAATTTTTTCACAGAGTTTACAGCGAATGAAAAAATAACTGAAATTTCGTCCGTTTGGCCCGAAACGGGTTAAAAACCTGCAAAATTCGAAAAAATTCAGAAAATTTTTTTTGAATTAACAAGGTTTTCGAAATAAAAAAGTTCGAATTGAACAGGTTTTACTACAATTAGATAACATACCTTTATTTTAATTTTAAATCAAAATTAAATACAAAACCCATGTATTTCCCTAAAAAATCGCAAATTCAGTGCAATAAGAGTATAATAAACGAATAATAATTGTATCCTTCTCTTAACTTTTCCTTTTACATCTAATTATGATTTGTCTGCTAGTCAGAAATAATCTTCATTCAAAATGTAATCAGAAATTTTTCGATTAAAAGATGTCTATAAGCCCTTAAGAAAAAAGTTGAGAGTTTTTACGTTATATGAACAGGTTACAATTCTTCCTAAGTTTCTCCTTGTATATACCAAATATTTTTTTTGCAGTAAATAACCATTCTTTCATTTTTTTCGATCATTAAAATAAGAAATATTTAAATTAACAAATATCTTGTATCTAACCTAGGTTTATCGACATTTAAAAATTTGAATTATATACCTTTTACACATATTTTTTGTTCTCCTGATCCAGAATTTGTTGATAAGTCCACTTGCATTTGGATTTCTCCCACATCGTCATCGACATTGGAAGAATCTATAAAATAAATGTTTATTACAGCTTTGAAAATATTTTCTATTATGTTAATGAGTCCTTTATTTGATAAGATATTTTCTTTATGATACATTTTGCCAGTCTAACGTTAGTATATAAAAATGCTTGAGAATAATTTAATAACCGGAAAACAAGAGAAAAAATATTAACTATCACTATTTCCGTTAATTATCATTTTATATGATCTTTTGGACTTCAAGCTGAATAGTCGTACTATAAAACAAAAGTATAAATTGATAAAGAAATTCTAAAATTGAACCAATAACTTAACACGGTAAACTAACAAAAAACCTTTACATAAGTGCACTTACATTACTAAAAATAATTTTGTTGGCTAAAGGCATTGATGGCATCCGATTTTCCCGGGAAAAAATCTAACAAAGAATGTCTTTCAAAATTTTCTAACATTTTCTTTTCCATTTTTGTATCATTAGAAAGACGAACTTTTCAATATTTTACGTTTCGAACCTTAAGGCGAGTCATACACCAATTCACTCCTCTTTGGCTTTTTTGTGATATAAATAATAGTTTAAAGCCAATATTTATTTTCAACATAAAATTGACATTTTTGAGCCCTAAAAAATATGAAAAATGTGGCAGCATGTGCTCTTGCATTTCAAAATAACTTATTTTTGCTATTTTAGCAGTTTCGCATTGTGCGCAAGGTTCAGATCAGAGTTTTTGAAGTGGTCACTTTTGATGTGACCCAAAATCTTCAGAATAGTACCCTTCACGGGCTTAGTTTTCTGGAATTGTGCAGGTTCATGAAGCGTCCAAGAAGTGCAGTTACAGACTTATACGCTTGATTAATGTAACGTGCAGCTGCATTGTTGACATTATCGGTCAAACAATGTGGTAAGAGAGCTTGAAAGGATATTTTTTAAATTTCAATAATTAAATTTTCCATACATCGAATCAAAAATCTCTTTCAGCGGTTTATAAGGGTTTCCATAGCAACGCGCTTGTTGGCAGAGAGGGAGCGACAGACGTTTGCAGCTTGCAACCAGGCCTTTTTGGGGCTCAAAGCAAGCACAGAGAAAAAGACTTATAAACGATAAAACTTAAATTTGTATTACTCGTCCTCTAGATCAATTTTGTAGTGACGTCAGTCCTGCTAGTTTCCGCCACAGAGTTTAAATATTGTGGAAAATAGGCCCACTAGGGGCGCCTCAACCGTCCGTTAGGTCTCGTCCTCTCGCTCGTAAGTTGAGCCATTACGTTTTTTCTGCGCGTAGAAGCAACAGAGTAACTGAACACAAGACAAGTTTACAAAATGTCCTCAAGTAAAAAACAACGTAAAAGAGATCGTAAGAGACGCAAATTAGAAAAGAAACTTCGATGAATCGAAGAAGAAGAACATGAACATCGTGCACGATCCAGGCACAGGAGAGAAACATCGACTTCTTCGTCGGATGAAACGGACCAGAAAAGTAAGGTTAGAAAACGCAAACGCTATTCATCGAGCAGCTCGCGAAGTTCAAGCTACACCTCGAGCGCATCCTCATCGAGCCGTAGTCGAGAGCATGAACGGCCAGACAAACCTCCAAAAGTGAAATCTGTAGTGCATGACCCGCGAGGCATGTCTAAATCAAACAATCCCTCAGAGCGTGGCCTGCGAGGCACGTCCGCAGGTGATAGTAAACACGAAGAGCTGCGTAGTACGGTCGACGCAAAATCGAAAAACGATGCTGGCGGAAACATAACCCATAATGACAAAGACGACGGTCGGAAAGTTACGCGGGACAACGAGCACGAAGAGAGTAATGACTTTTTAGCTCTCATTATCAATGATGACCCACAAGACGAAGTTGAAGGAGAACCTATTAACGAAAGTATAGCAGCACAGTGGCAAAAAATTGTACAAACGGGCTTGGCAAAGGATGCAAAACTTGAATTATTGAAAAAATATCCTATACCGTCAAACTGTCCAACTCTCCGTCACCCTGAATTAAACGATGAATTCAAAGCAATACTCGGCCCTGGTCTTAAAAAAGACTATTACCAAACAGTCGCACAATACCAGTTGGGCGTATCCATTGGTATTCTTGGGACAGCTATGACAGAAATAATAAGAACCCAAACGGCTAAAGCCATGACTGGAATATTTGAGCCAATCAAAGACGCTTGTCGATTATTAACAGACATGCACTATGGAATATCTCAAACAAGACGTTCTTTTGTTGAACCATCACTGAATCTTAAAAGCAAAAACATTGCTAAAGAATCTCCGATTGACAGAAAGCTCTACGGTGGTAATTTCTCAGCGTTGTTGAAAACTGCCAAAGACACGGAGCAGATAAGCAAGGAGATGTCCAAAAAACCCAGCCTGCCAGCGCAAAAAGATAACAACAAACAAGACGGATACACTCACACTCAGAAAAAATATAAATCCAGTACATCTTTAAACCGATACGTCCCTCCCCGGAAAAATCAGTCGGGCTCAAGTTCGCGCTACGAGGGATTCAAAATACCCTTTACAAAAATTCCACATCAAAGCCAAATCCCACGCGAGGAAAAGCTTTCGGCAGAGCAGCTAGCAGAATATCAAAAAGTAATCAAAAAACTACTCGATAAAGGTGTCATATCTCTGAGTAAACGTGAAAATAGCTATTTTATATCGAGCTATTTCTTACGTAAAAAACTATCTGGAGAAAAAAGATTCATTTTTAATTTAAAAAAGTTGAATGCGTTTATTGAAATTTATCATTTTAAAATGGAAACATTAAAGGACGTTATAAGAATCGTGTCAAAAAATGACTATATGGCCTCAATTGATTTGCAAGATGCATTTTATCTTATTCCAATTCACAAGAAATATAAAAAATATCTTAAATTCTCCTTCGAGGGGGAAATATACGAGTACAATTGTTTACCATTTGGCCTTTCTTCTTCGCCTTATGTTTTCACCAAAATTATCAAACCCGTGATTGAACAATTGAGAACACGTGGTTATAGATCAATAGGGTATTTGCATGAAAAAAAAATCATTGAAATAATTACGTTATAGTAAAATATACGTATCAAGGAATGTGGGAGTAAAAAAATAAACAATTTTGAACAGTTAGGTAATTTTTAATACGAGAATAAAAATCTAAAAAATTCGAAAATTATTTTGAACTCCACAAACGATTTTGATTGGTCCGCATAACTGTGACGTCATACTTATAACCTAAGTCGGCTGCTGTACGTAATTTGTATACCTATATATATGCGTCTACCGATAAGTATGACGTCACCGTCCGCTCGCACAGCTTCGGGCGGTTTCGGCGCGTTTTCTGCCGTTTGAAAAGTTGTATTTTTTGAAACGATAAATTTTTAAGTAAAAACGCAATGAAGAATTAAAAAAATATTCATTGATAACTCATATATGTTGATTTCAAAAATATCATTACTTTTTCTTATGCAAATACCCTATTGTATATCTTGATGACTTCTTACTAGTCGGAGAAACATCACTTAAATGCGAGCGTAACGTTCAAGAAACTCGTGAACTATTATCAAAACTAGGGTTTATCATAAACGAGAAGAAGAGTGTATCAACGCCAAGTAAACAGTGCATATTTCTTGGATGCGAGATCGACACTATGGATTATTGCATTCGAGTAACAAAATCAAAAATTGGAAAAATATTAGAATCTATAAAACAAGTCGCTGTAAAAAAGGAATTAAAGATACGCGAAACTGCTCATTTGCTGGGCAAACTTATCGCAGCCTGCCCGGGCGTTCGATATGGATGGATTCATACAAAATATCTTGAAGAATGTAAATTCAATTCATTACTTAAAAATAACAGTAATTACGATAGAAAAATTATAGCATGCGACGAAATGCGCACTGACCTCAAGTGGTGGAGTGACAACTTACCGAAAGCTAAGAATAAAATACGTGACAACGTATATGAATGCGAAATTTTCTCGGACGCCTCGTTGACAGGCTGGGGTGCCGTATACAAGGGCAAAACAGCTAATGGATGGTGGAAAAAACTGTGAAATACTTATGCGCATCGATAACACGACCGCGATTTCCAACATAAATAAAATGGGAAATATGCAACATACAAAACTTATAGAATTAAAAAAAGAGTTATGGGACTGGTGCGAAAGACGCAACATATTTGTATTTGCATCATATATTAACACCAAAGAAAATATAGCCGACAGCTTTTCACGGCTTACATTTAAAGAAACTGAGTGGGAACTGGCTCCATGGGCATTTGAAATAATAAATAATAAGTTTGGCACGTTCGACATTGACTTATTCGCCTCTTATAATAATGCTAAGTGTACAACGTATGTATCATGGAAACCAGACCCCGCATCTAAGGCAATTGATGCATTCACCATCTCATGGAAGCCTTATTATTTTTACGCTTTTCCACCTTTTGCATTATTGGCACGAGCCCTAAGAAAAATGCAAATAGACAAAGCAGAAGGAGTTATTGTTGCGCCCTGGTGGCCAACACAACCGTGGTTCCCATTTTTTATCAAAGTGTCACAATCAAACATAATAAAATTCTCTCCACATGAAAATTTATTAATTTCCCCTTTCAGAGAATCCCACCCATTATCGAAGAGCCTTACCCTGGTGGCCGTAAAATTATCTTACAAGCAATTATGAGGAAAGGACACTCACAGAAGGCAGCCTCAATTATGTTATCATCAATCCAAGATTCTACTACGAGACAATATGAAAAACCCCTTCGTTTGTAGTGGGAATACACGAAAAGAGAAAATATATCTCCTTTCACTGATAAAGCTGAATGCATAACAAAATTCCTCACGGAACCAGAATGTGTGGATCAATCTTACAGCACACTTAACATTTACCGATCAGCAATATCGCTGATGAGCCTCAATGATTTGGGAAAAAATTCAAGCTTATCAAGGTTTTTTAAAGGGGTTGCTGCACAAAAACCACTACAACCAAAGTATAATACCACGTGGGACCCGGAAATAGTAATAAGCGAATTAGCAAAACAATACGCTAATGAAAATTTATCTCTCGAAAAACTGACTACAAAACTAGTAACACTCATGGCGTCTTTATAACAGCTCATCGAGCTCAAACCTTCACAAAAATAGAAACGGACCAAATAACATGGGAAACTGATTCGGTACAAATTAAAGTACCATAAAGAATCAAAACCAGTGGTCGCAACAGATATCAGCCACTTCTACATATACCATTATTCAAGGAACGTAAAAATGTCTGCGTAATGAGTGCATTACAAACTTACTATCAACGTAAAAAAAATATCGGAGACAAAAATAATATAAAAACGCTTTTCATAACTCATAAAAAGCTATACAAGTGTGTCTCGTCGCAAACCATTAGTCGATGGATACACGATACATTAAAACGCTGTGGTCTGGATAAAAAATTTACAGCACACAGTACGCGACATGATGCCACATCAGTTGCAGCTCGGAAAGGACTTAATTTAGAAGTTATAAGAAAAACCGCTGGTTGGACGGAAAAATCAATTGTATTAGCAAAATTTTACAATAAGCCAGATCAAAAATCACAAGATTTTGCAAAAACTGTACTAAATGAAAATCATTAAAAAAGCAATAAGCTCCTTATCATTTTGTAAGTCTACTTTAATATGTATTTGAGTCATATTGAAAATAAATAAAGGTGATCTCAAACATATTACAAATTGTGACAAGACTTTAAACAACTACAGAATTGATCTAGAGGACGAGGCAGCGTAATACAATTAAACGATCGAATGAACTTACCTGTAAGTGATAATCGATCGTAATTGTGTAAGCTGCCTCGTCCGAATAGATCAATTACCCACCCTATGATTCAAGTCCCAAACCCAAAAATGTCACAATTTGTATCTTTAAAATATAATGGCGCAACTTACGAGCGAGAGGACGAGACCTAACGGACGGTTGGGGCGCCCCTAGTGGACCTATTTTCAACAATATTTAAACTCTGTGGCGGAAACTAGCAGGACTGACGTCACTACAGAATTGATCTATTCGGACGAGGCAGCTTACACAATTATGATCGATTATCACTTACAGGTAAGTTCATTCGATCGTTTAATTTTCTCTCTGTCACTTTCATTTGCAATTCGATACACCTTGGCTAAGGAAAACTCTAAACTTTTTAGATATGTGACGGGGGTCACAGTCATCGCCAACGGATGGGCAACCCTCACGCGCGCTACACGGGAAAAGCGTAATGACGATGAGATGCAGCGCCGGCCAAGCGAGTATCATCCAGCTGAGCAGCAGAGCTGATACCAACATCAACAACGGGTATCACGAGGCAGCAGCATGATGTGACACGACGATGCAACGGTGTGCGAAAGTAGACCACCTGCCGCCATCTCGCGAGCGGTGCCGGGTCAGCGGAGCAGACGCGAAATATGCAGTAACCAGCGAGTCCTCGTATCGAGCAAAGTGATCGTGCGAACGTTAAGAGAAAAGAGGTTAACTTACGGCCAAGAGCATCGCAAAGTAAAGTAAAGTTACGAATGCAGTTGAGTGTGTCCAAGAGAAATATTAAGTTTACTACAGTGTGCTCGCCGTGCAATCGCGCGATAAAAGAGTCGGCGTTGGACTTGATTTGCAAAGGCAAGAATCACGCCATTTCTCGCTTTCATCGCGACTCGTGTGGCATCGGCCATCTTGCGTCGGAGGAATCACGTATCGCATGTGTGCTCCGCGCGGAGCATCAAGACTCGCATGCATGTATTAGTGTGCATCGCTGTATACGTGTGCGTGTTGAACGGTACCACGGCGCACATGTGGTGAGTATTGATGAAGCTAGCGATCGCGTAGTAGACGTAATACTCGAGTGCGGCGTTAAGCCTCGGTCACGATAGCGTTCGCGGGGCAGTGGAACGAGCGGAGCTAATTGATTGCTGCCGAGAGCATACCACGGGCCCTACGCCGCCAAAATTGACTGATTCTTTTCTGAATAAATTGAATAGTAGTAATTGGCATCAAAACTCATTGTCATTGTTATTTGTCGGATCTTGGACTCAGAGTTGAACCCGAACCCGTTCTTTCAGGTAGCGACATCTGACGATAAGTTGGTAACGCAAGTCAGTGCTCGCAACTCAATTGACGACGGCCCAGACCCCCTTTGTATGAGGTAAGACAAAAGTGCTCGAGCTTTCCCCGTAAATAAAATTGACGACAAAGGAACGAGCGTGGGCAGTTGTCTCGCCCAATTCCGCCCCGTCGTAGATAATAATCGCAATGACTAAAATATTTCCGGTAAAATCAGTAATGCCAACAGATTTTAGACATTTTTTAGTGAAGTATTACATGGAAAATCATAAATAAATAATTAATCGTAAATTCACCATCAAAGTCAAGTATACTTTTTATTGTTATAACTATGTAACTGCTACGTTGCATAGCAATCATTACTTTAAGATTAAATTAATAGATTATTATTTTGTGACAAGTTAATAACAATTACATAGAATATTGTTTTTTTTGCACAAGACAATTATTGTGTTCCACAACTTTTTACAACTTAATTTTCAGAAGCCTTTTCCTCCAGAAGCTGATTGGTTATGTTCTATAGTTTGTAAGGACAACATTTGTGAGGTAGGCAAGTGAGATAATAAAAACAAAAAGATAAAAAACTCCCCAATGAAAGCTATGGACTATTCTTTATAAAGAGCTAAAAAGTAATTTAACCAGTTACGACGGTTATTCCGCCAATCAAATTGAGAATGGATGGGAACAAGTGATTGAAAAAGTTAATATCTTTGCCAAAAATGTAAAAAAGTTTTTTAAACAATATTAAAACAAATTTTAAAAACCAAAGCAGAATTATTGCAACAAAAAATCAACATGTTTCTAATTGAGAAATATTTATTTCATCTTAGGTAATATACTACTTAATACTTTCTTTTGTCAAAATTATCGAAATTGAGCGGTCTATAGTATAGACTCTATACGCGTTGGTGATTGACACATATCTCGCACACATGCTGAACTTCATAACGCTCGATTCCTGATTTTTGAAAATCCGTCACTATTAAAAGTGTAATAATTTTTTTTTTAATTGTTTCATACCCGATGCTATTTGCTGCTCTCCACAATCTTTCTGCAATCATGAAAATAATGTTTACGCAACAAGTATATTAACACTATTAAGTTACAATTTCAATAATGCTGAGCGGCCTGCTATGCTTCTATTTTACTATCCACGTGTGTCACCAAAGTTTTGTAGCAAGATGTGGGTGCTGGGTGTGTTACAAGATGGGCTAATTGAGGGGTTTTCTTTCATCAAGATTTTAAATGGGGGCACTATGGCCAAAAACTTGAAATAAGCTTTGAAATTAATCACTTCCTATGCAAGGTCTCTACAGAAAGTTCTTACAATAAGTCAAAAAATATGCATGCAGCTTTTTCAGAATTTTCGAAACATTTTTCGGATTTTTTTATTTAAAGATAATTTTTAAGAGATTTATTGTTTCTATTTCATGTTGATATTTGATTTAGAACCAAAAGTAGATGAAAGTTTTTTTCTTACCTTGGTTAACTTGAGTTGTTACAAACCGTTCAATGAGCGTATCAGTGCTTTCTATATAAAGATTCAATGCATACTTCAAGCTCTGAAGTTCAGGTGATTTTTCCAAAAAGTTCTTTTTTAATCCACTTCCATTAGCATGAAAATAAGACTTGATAGTATCTAAAGCGGCTTCAAGAATAGCGCATTGTTTAGGGGATAGATTTTTTTCAACCCCTCCATCCTAAAACAATAAGGTAAATTAAAACTTGAATTGTGATTTAGTTAAAATTTTTCTGTTGCAAGAATTATTTGAAAAAATTTTTTAAAATAGAGTTTATCGAGAAAGAAGTAAATAACTTTAATACAATTCTGTGAAACTTCAAAAAATAATTTTCAATTGATGTATTTATCCCATTATCGATTTCGTATTTCACAGTTTTATTTCCTCATACAGAAAGCTCTGTGATAGTTCCAGCTGCTGGATCCGGTCCAGCTATATTAATTGTTATATTAATATTAATAGCTTTTCACTTCCAATTTCAATTTATTATTTTCTTACTTACTAATAATATGCTCGATTCAAGCATTTAGCAATTTGATCTGAGTGTTTTTCATTGGCCACCCAACCAATCCCCCTCTTGCAATACCTCGAGCAACTCCCCAATTAGTTGCTCTGACTTGTTACATGCAATACGTTGTACGTAAGTCGTCAACAAGATTGTAAACTCGATCGAATTTACAACAAATGTCCGGATGTATTGCAACGTAACTTCCCTCTCTGAGAGTACTCGCGAGTGCTTGTGTGGCGCCACATGGCCGACAGTCTCACTTCTCACACGAGATACGAGCGCGTGCTCTATGAATTTAAATCCATGCCTTACCTTGTGTAGCAACGCATTGAGGTGCTATAATATTATTCTCTTTGCTGTTTTTTGAGTGAATGAGGGCATCAAGATCTTCCTATGTGAATGTAAATTTAACAGGGTACTGGGATCGAGTCTCTGGACAAATTAGTGTAGATTTTCTTTCTTTTATTTGTAAATGTAATTAAATTTTCTCTATTTATTAAAGTATTTGAAGGAATCTATTATTAGGAAATCAACCGCGTCAAAGTAAATAAGTTTATACAAGAATTGTTAAGTTAGCCGACCAATGCATGACAATCAACATAAAAATACATAACAAAGAAATGGTCTGCAGTGTTTCGACGTCAGTTCTGCTGCTTGTTTTTCTGCTGGTACTGCTGCTTGAACTGTTGTTGAAGATAATGTTCTTTAATAGCTGGGCCGAAAAGTGTCCCCTGTGGCCCGAGTATCGTACTACATTTCATAGCACTGTGCTAATTTCACAGTTATGCCAATTAGTACTTAAATATATGGCCGATTCTCTGTGAACGGCGAAAAAAATTTTTTTTTGCAAAAATAAGAAAAACTTATATTATAATAATTTACAGGAATTCACCTGTCGATCCGTTTAGGCAATAAGGTAGAATAAAAAACAAAGATGTTGGTATCAAGCTAGCACAAGCTAAGTTAGTCAATTTTATTCTCGTGTATGAGCGACTTTTCGTCGAGAATTTTCCCGACCTTATCTGGCTACAGACACAATTAAAACATACAAGAGTCACTATAAATTAATGAATATAAATTTACATTTTAATGTACAAAGACTATACAGACCTAGTCACGAGGACGGTGAGTATAAAACTGAGCAAATCGTTCAAAAACATAATACATGTAACAAGCATAAACATAAGAGACAAGACAGTTAACGGCAATATTTTATCAAATTTTTATAAACACACTTGAGTTTGGCGGTATCTTCAATTTTATTGATTGAGTATTTGTATTTCTTAATAAATAACATTTCAGCAATCAACCGGTTATGACGATTGCTTTCAGAATGAATAATTTGCACATTGTCAAAGTCAAACTCATGGTCATGACGAGATGTATGTACATTCTTTACAGAGTCAGGGTCTTTCTTATTTTTATGCTCATGAATACGTTTTTTTAACGCTCTTTTTCTCTCACCTATATATGTCTCATAACAGGACTCACAATCGAACTTGTTATACTGAATTAACCCTATCAAATTTGTCCGTTCTATCTTTACCCAAAGATATGATATCGTTAATCTTGTTGCTGATGGATGTGACAATCTTGACGCGATATTTATTTAAGGGGGGAAAGGTACCTTAAACCTACATTTGTAAAAAATTTATTAAAAATGAAGAAAAAAAATTTTTTTGGAATAAACAGAGTAAACTCTATTTTTTTCACTCTTTTTCAAAAGTTTTTTACTCTGGTAAATGTAAATTGAGGTCCCAGTCACCATAGAACCCTGCTCGATGAAGCAAGCCCACAGATCTGACAGGGACCCCTGTGCCGTAGGTTCCAGCTAGAACCGATGGTTCAATCATGGTCCTTGGGGTCTCATTTTAATCATTAGATGTGTGGTTACAAACGCAAGCACTTTCAGATTTTTTAATTAGTTATACACAATTTGCCAGCCACATATACACATTTATTCATTAATATATATGATAAAATGACAGATTATGCTACATCATAGCCTGAAAAAAGTGCTCATTTGTCCCAATACCTTTGAAAGTGCTTGCGTTTGTAGCCATTCTCATGTAGAACAATCCCTAAAAATTTCAGCTCATTTGCTCTAACGGTTCACATGGAAAGTTACGGCAACAAAGCAATTTTGAGATGAAACGTAACTGCCCAAGAGTTAAAAAAAACAAAAATACACCAGTTTATGTCATAATGATACTCTCATGTCACTGAGACTACTTTAAACTTTTTGGACAATAAAAAACAGTTATTTAACTTGAATTTTCAACATATTAGACCCACAAGGACAATGTTCAATTATCCCAGAGAGATACATAAAGCCATATTTATAAGTTGTACTAAAATGTTAGTATACGCTAACATGGGTTTTATGTGGAAACTGGTAACTAAGTTGACTATGTCCAAATCAACTTTTCACACGAATTTACACAATTTCACATAAGAACTTGAACTCAGTCCTCTACTTATTCACTCACATTTGTAAAACATTGGATCTATAGTTGGAAAAAAAATCACTCAAAATTGATCAATTATCACTAATCTTGTTCATCACATTCAACAATATACATGAATAATGTCATAGACGAGCTCATTAACTCCAATCACCTCACACCAATATATACCGACGGCAGCAAGATCACCGGCGCTCCGTGCGTAGGCTGCGCTTTTCTCTGCCCCGCAGACGATCACCACTGTACTAGAAGTCTGAGCCCGCTCGCGTCAATATTCTCCGCGGAGTGTTACGCAATAAGAGATGCTCTGGATTACATAATCGAAGGTAACGACAACAGGAGCTACGTCATCTTGAGTGACTCTCTCAGCGTACTCTCAAGTTTTGAATCTCACCGGCTCAACGTCAAGACAAACCACGTGATTTTCGAAATCTTGGAAAAACATCTCTCCCTGCTACAAAGAAACTGCTCTGTGCGCTTCGCGTGGATTCCCTCGCACATCGGCATTCAGGGCAACGAATCGGTGGATGCACTGGCTAGAGCAGCTACCTGCTCCGACTCGGCTGATCTCCCGCCGGTGGCCTTCTCGGACCTCGCGGAGTTGTTTAGGCGCGACTGCCGCGCCAGCTCGACCTCCGATTGCGAGAACGACAGACGATCGAAGGGCAAAACGTACTTCGAGCTATACCACCATCGCAACTCCGCTTCGCCGTGGTACTCCAATAGAGGATTGACCCGTGCCTTCATCGTCACTATTAACCGTATGCGTAGCAATCACCATAGCCTCGCCGAGTCCCTCCATCGCAAAAACATCATCTCCAACCCCGGGTGTGCTTGCGGCTTCCCGGAGGAAAGCTTAAACCATATTCTATGGAGATGCGAGGACTACAATCAGCCGAGAAGCATCTTGATAAAAGACCTTTCAGCCGAGCTGTCCCCTGTAACTTCGTTACAATGTATATAAATTTGGCTTTCGATAAGGCGTCACCGACGCACTGTGTACCTTTTTGCGAATTTTTTTGACAAAATCGGATTTCCATCAATAGAAAATAGTGTGACGTCCAGCACCGCCACTGATATCATATGTTTTTTTCCGCCTATAATCATGATCGAACGATAATCGCTCCATTACCTCCATTAGAAAAATATCAATCCTAGATCATAGCGTTCCTAAGTTACATTTTAACAAATCATTTTAAGTCTCATTTTAACAAATGATTAATTATTTTTATATGATTTCTAAATATTGTAACTCACTATGTTTAATTACTATGTTCAATTAATTTAATTTTTATTATAACTCAATGATGACAATTAAATAGAAAATGACTCCATAGATGTATAACTGCACGTGGCTGTATCAACGACTCAAAATTGTTATGACTTGTCCTTACGTCTCAGAGGTATGGTAGCCCTGAAAAGGACTGAATGGTTTCTTCGATTTACGGGCCGCTGTGTCCTTGACGAGTTTTGAACTGTTGCTGGAGTTTAACTGCTCGCCTTATGTTTCGCCGTCGGTCGGATGGAGCCTTCGACCACTTGCCTCGTTTGGGGCTCTGTTTGGCGACGACGACGGGCTCTGGAACCGGAGGTGGAGGATTTGCTGGCTTCTCTCGAAAGCGCTCGCCGAAGAGTCGCCGCGGAGAGAGAGATGCTTTCCTCGCTGGTGTCGATGCTCGTGGCCTTGTCGGTCGGCGGACGGGAAATTCTACCGGTGCTTCAATCCGTACTTTGATCGGTTTGAGGAGTTGAGGCGGGACCGGTGGATGCTCCCTAAGGTACGGTGAGAGAGAGCGAGCTCGGCCGGGCAACTTGAGCGGCTGTCTCTTTCCCGGCGACTCAAATTGCGGAAGACGAGCCTCGGGCAAACAGAGAGTTGGGCGAGTTTGTTGTCGAATGCAGGCGGGATTGTCCGGGAGTCTGGTATGCGGCAAGACTGTATTCCGCAGCGGCACGACGACAATGGAAGCAAGCTGGTGTTCTCTGGCGAAACGGGAGTAACGTGGCTCTTCCTCGTCGCTGCTAGTGCTGAGAGGAATGAATCGAGCAGCGGCGTCGCGGAGAGACATGCTGTCGGCTTTGCGATCGCAAAAGAAGTGCCGGCCGGGCGGCCCTGCCGCATGCTATATCCATTTCGGATAGTGCTTCTGTGTGGTAGTGGGGGGAGGTTTCGAAAGGCGAAAAAACTCTCGCCCGGTGGTGAATTGGCCGAATTCGAGAGTGGCCCTGAAAAGGGTGGCCGAGTCTCGTTTGGCTCCACTTCTCAGATGAGAAGTTGAGTTGATTCGCGAAGAATCTATCAGCCAAGTAGCAAACTACTTGGCTGATTTCAGCGTTCGAGAATCTATCAGCCAAGTAGCAAACTACTTGGCTGATTTCAGCGTTCGAGAATCTATCAGCCAAGTAGCAAACTACTTGGCTGATTTTAGCGTTCGAGAGTCTATCAGCCAAGTAGCAAACCACTTGGCTGATTTCAGCGTTCGAAGTTTTTAGTCTTAAAGACTGGTCCGATCTTGCCTGGCCAAGCCAGCCAGGAAGTTGATCAGATTTTAGAGGTGGTCCTGAGAAGGTCCGTCCTGATCGAATTTCTTAACGTCTCGTGGAGACTTATAGAAATTCAATCGGTTCGATCGTAGCCCTGAAAAGAGCAACTTTACGTTGTTGTGACAAGTCCGAAGGGACTTGTGATGTTTTGCAACGAAGAAAAATGAGAGTCCTGAAAAGGACAGTTTGTTGTTTGTTGTAGAGGCCTCGTCGAGATCTGGAAGGTAGCGGCATAGAGAAGTCGATCCCAGTTTGTCGTCGTTCCGATGGTCGTCCTTGAGCGGGTAGGTGCAGGAAAGACAAGTCAAAGATTTAAGTTTTAAAAGAAGTAATCTTTATTCGTCAACGTCCCTAGCCGAGTGACCCTCTGGGAAGGCAGTAGCTCCTTGGATTGCCAAGGGGCTTGCTGCCGATGCGTCGCGGTCGAGAGCTCGACCGCAAGTGAGCTCCGCCGGCCGGGCGCGCTGTACTTATGCCAGCGCGCAGCGGCGGCGCGCCATTGGCCGGCGGAACTGGGGTGGGGAGCGCACGCAGCGGTCTTGTCGTCGGGAAATGGAAGAAAGGCGCCGATCCGAACTCGGCGAGCAAAGCGCTCGAGGAGTGCGGAAGCGACGCCGATCCGACTGTGATGTCGCAGAAATGGCGCGGATCCGACTTAAGGTCGGATCGCGTATATCAAAATGATTATTTACAAACACAATATTACATTAAGTTTAAGCTGAGTGCAAGAATATCAAATAATAGCAGTTACCACTATACCACCGATATCAAACTCGAGTAATCCATCATATTAATTAAATAATAATGAAATCACTAGCACTTCACGAACAAATACTGAGTCATCGTAAATATGCTTTGTTTGGTATCGTTTCACTTGTCTCAACTCACTGATTTTAAATAATTCACTGTATCACACTTTTATCAACAAATATGCCTTATATTTTATAATAAAGATTTGGCCCGTTGAACTTGGAAAGATCGAGAATCAGAGGACGGTTGGTTTGTTCAGTCCACTCGCGAGTTTTACGTTACGGGTTAAATCACATTCCAGCACGTACTTAGCACATCTGAGACAATATAGATCCTGAGAGTATAAAAAGCCGATGAACAAGCCAACCAGCCTCGCATTCTCCTTTGAATCTCCAGTTGTAAAACACAGCTCACGGAGCAGTTATAAAACATAACGAGTAAGTTCAAAATTCACTTTTTCCTTCGTCTTTCCTCTCCGACGCTACAAGCCCATGAACAACTCATGGCAAAGAACTTGAAACAAGCTCGCCTCTTACTCTCTCAAAACCCTCCAGCTGTATAATACGGCCCACGGAGACGTTATATAACATAACGTATGTGTTTTGAATTCTTTCTTCTACTCTGCGAGCCCGTGAATAACTCACGGCAAAAAGAACTTAAAACAAGTTCGACAGTTTCGCTTTAAAACAAAGTGAAACTAGCGCTAAAATAGCGGATACCCGTCAAACACGTGTGTTTGACATGTATACAGGTGTCTTCATAACACCGGAGAGCCGTGACTCGTTGCCTGTTGTGTACGGCGGCTGCTACAACAGCAGACGTATACTCAATAACGGGACTTACAATATAAGCCCGCGTCAAAAGTGTTTTTTCGTTCCACCCTAGTGCACATTCACTTCGTACACCCTGAGATTTTCCTTCAGCCACAGGTCTTCGGACCCGGGCAAACGCTAGACAGTAGGAGGGGTGTAGTAAAAGTCTCTCTTGCGCACGGGCTATGCTTTTTGCAGGCCTTCTCGGGAAGGAGAAATAGAGAGAATAAAAGCAATCGATTTACTTGTTTTTTTTTCATATTTGATAAATATAATTCTAATTATAACTACATATTAAATTATGAGTTACGTGAGTACTACTTACCATGACACCACTCAGAGCATTTTTTACATCTGGTTTACCGGCCATGTGATTTTTGAATATTCGTGACATATCCTCGATTTTGGCATTGGCTGCCAAATTCTTGGCATTGTCAGTTAAGCTTTTAAACATCATCTAAAACAGAAATTATGCATGAATAAATTGAGCTTCTTGAAATAATTTAAAAAAAAGTTTTTATTTCTATGTATTCATTTATACTCAAGAAAAAAAAACAAGGTTTCAAGCTTGTCTGTCATTATGCTCTTCGCAATTAATCATTTAAGGCATAGCGATGAAATGAAATATACTTTTTCGGAACATCAATGGTAGCAATCATAGTTGATATGGTTGTACCCTTAGATTGCTTTCGATCGATTGATAGATAGATAGAGAGAAATAATTTATTTTTGGCTAAGAGCGATTTGGATGGTACAAAGTATACATGAGAAAAAATAGTGATTAAATTATAATAACAAGAACAATAATTAGTTCAACAAATGGTAAAACGATAAAAAGAAAAATAATATTATAATAAGAATAATAAGATGAAATACTTCAGTGAAGTATTGGGATCCGAAGCAGCGCTCGTTTTCGTCCAAGATGCAGACGTACGCACTGCACTTAACGTAGGCTCTTATGGGAGTCAAGTGATAAATAAATATTTAAATTAAATGAACAATTTGTTTAGGTATCTGATGTGGTCAAAATCATCCTTCAAATATCATTCAAATATCTTCTTGTGAAAAAATTTTTGTTAAAAAACTTCTGTCCGTTCACCTGCAATTAAATAATAAGGTCATTTTGACCCTATATCTGACGTTAATTCGGCTGCTACAGCTCTCTTTAACCTCACTTTAGACAACTGCAGTAGCCGAATTAACATCAGATATAGGGTCAAAATGACTTAATTATTTAATTGCAGGTGAACGGACTGAAGATTTTAAACAAAAATTTTTTCACGAGAAGATATTTGAATAAGGATGATCTTGACCACATCAGATACCTAAAAAAATCGTTCATTTAATTTAAATATTTATTGATCACTTGACTCCCACAAGAGCCTACATTGAGTGCCGAGCGTACGCCGCCATCTTGGATGAAAACGAGTCCTGCTTCGGATCCCTTGGATTCGGATTGCTTGGCGCAGATACATCTCACGTAAGACTTTCGCGAAACCAGGACTTCGAAAGAGAATTTCCATCTCACAAGGCAGATCTTTCCATAGGTTGGTGACGTGTATGAAAAAGCCATTCTGTAGACAACTGGCAAGGAGACCACCCCAGCTCCGGGTCATGGATTTATTCCAAAATTGTTTTTGCGTCTCCTGGTACCCAACACTGAAGCTCTCTGTGCTTAGTTTGATTTCATAGGCCTTAGGGTCCATTTTTCAGAGGATTTTCCACATTATAAAAAAATCTTTGTTAATTTCTATATCGATATAGAAGTACTTAAACGAAAAAGAGACGACGAACTTAGACGAGCAAATCCATGTCCCGGAGCTGGGGTGGTCTCCTCGTGAGTCGAACAAAAGGAATTTCAGTACAGAGATGCGCAGAAGAAGTCGGTGCTCATTAAGCTTTTGAATGGGCAAAGTAAGATGAAAATATATATGTTCAAATCTGCGCATGCCCGTTGTAAATTGCGCATGACCGTTGAGCGGTCGTTGGCTCAGTGGTTAGCGTGCTAGCCTCGGAGACAATAGACCGCTCGAGGAGCCTTGGGTTCAAATCCTGGCGAGGGAAATCAGATTTCTCCGATTGCCGTTAGGCAGGATGAGAGCCCATGTGCTCCGCCTGTCTCGGGCGGGTTTTTCCCTGGAGGAGGAGGAGGAGGGTGTAGTGCATATGCACTACGTATACCCCCAGGATTCCCCTGCCCCACAGGTCTTCGGACCTGGGCAAATGCGAGACAGTAGGGAGGGGGGTAGTTAAACTCTTCCTGCGCACGGGCCCACTGCAGGCCCTTCTAAGAAGAAGGTGTCTTGTAAAGAGAAAGAAATAGAAAAAAAAAATCGTACCGACGGACCACCCATTAGTCCAGCTTTATAATACAAGTAAGGAAAAACCAGCGATGGCAAGACCATGAATCTGGTGAAGCAAGGCAAGAAATCTACCATCCTTCGAAAACGCGCCAGGGCGGTGAATCTCTTCACGGAGGCGCAATTAGTGTTTTCTTGACACGAAAGGGTTCGTCCAGAACATAGCCCAGAAACTTACTGTTTTTCTCCGAATTCAAGGCATCGTCACGCAGCTGCACGGGCAGGAAAGCAGCTGGACGCATCCTCCTTGTGTAACGCTGACAGCCAAACCAAATCGAGTTATGACCAGGCCGTTCTCCTCTGCTTAAGCGGCCACTCGTGTGAAGTCGTCGTTCATCCTGCTGACTATCAGATCTGGACGTTTGGCTAAACCGTGGCAGACAATCGTGAAGTCATCGGTGTAAAGATAGTATTTGCTATGTAAACATCGACCAATGAGAAGTAATAGTTACAATCGGTTTCTGAGAAATTTAATTTTTTTTCGATTTTGTATGCATATTATTTTCTTATATCATATTCAAATTCTTTATTGTTGTATAAGAATTCATTGATATTGTCTTAGACGCTTAATATTTTTGCATTTAATTTTATTAATCCTTTTGTATTTCCCCAACTGCCGATCATTTTTATTGAACAGTTAAAGTTGCATAAATTCTTTATTTTTACTAACGTAGAGTTTATTAGTGTTATATTTGAACCAGGATCATTAACGCCTTTACATTCAAACGTTTCGTTTAATATCACCTTAATATCAATCAGCGGAAAAAAATCTAGTTTTTGAGTCTTCTGTGTTTTCGATTTCTATTAAGGGGACCAACCTGTGTTAAAAGCTTAGATTCAAAAAATAGCTATATAAATCGAAATAGTGGATATTTTTTTTTTGTGATAGTAAAATATGTTCATTAGACACCAGATTGACAAAAAAACTTCTACCCAAGCTCTGAAATGCCAACTACGCCTATTTTTTCATAATACTAAATATTATAATTGGATTTATTTGCCACGTGATTCTGACGTGAGCTCTTCATCAAAGTTGATCTATGGAGTCTCAAAATTTGCAGAAAAGTACCCTCATCCACTTAAGCGGAACAGAATTTGAAAAAAAAGTTTGTTTCTCTTCCAAGAGCTTAAATATGGCATTTGGTGTTGATAAAATACGAATTTTCTTAAAAATTGTCACATTTTGACGTATATATAAAGTTGTACGCAATTTTTCAAAATTCTGCTCCACTTACGTGGATGCGGGTACTTTTCTGAAGATTTTGAGACCCCATAGATCAATATTGATGAAAAACTCTTTTCAAGATCATGCGGAAAGTGATTTATAACACAACATTTCGTCTTATGAAAAAAGTGATGTAATTGGTATTTCAGAGCTTGGGTAGAGGTCTTTTTTGGTCAATCAGGTGTCTAATGAACATATTTTATGATCACATAAAAAAAATTTCCAGTATTTCGATTTACATAGCTATTTTTAGCTGAAGCTGAATTTAAGCTTTTAACACGGCTCGGCCCTTTAAGGTATTCATTCTATTATTTTTATTTCCACTGGATCAGCAGCACTCCTCAGGATGATATCTGTTGCCTCTGCTTTCGCACATTTTACATGGCTGTTTTAGATTTGATTTTGATTCAGTTTTAACTATCATACATTTGTATTGATACACCTTATTTGTTTTTTTTAGGTCTCAAATTTTCTTATTTCACTGAATAATTCAATTGTTGTTGTGGCATCTTGTCTCTAAATTTCTGACGAATGGTGGCATTTTATTAGCAATTAGATCCACTATAGTCCTGTTGTACATCTCACTATTTAATTTCAGAAGTTCTTTCTTTAAGAGGACACACCGATGTTTATGCCTATAAATGCAAAAACATGAAAATTAAGGATTAATATTAAAATTTTGTGTTTCTGATGTTAAAATATGTTTTTACAGGTCCATTGACAACAAAAAATATGTCTATAGTTCCTTTACTTAGTAAAATTCTACCAGGATTCATATATATTGACTTGTGATCCTTTAGGTCTCAAAAATGTTTATAATTAAATTTTTTCACTTAAGTGTAACAGAATATCAAGAAAAGGCTTAGAAACTTTTTTTCATACTAAAGTGCAAAGAAAATGACAAAAATAGCTATTTTAATAACGCTCTTAATCGCTCATAATATTTGGAAATTAGTAAATTAAAAAAGTTACTAAATAAAAAATCTGCTACACTTAAGGAGAAAAGAATTTAATTACAAAACTTTGCATAAAAATCAGAATTTAATTACAAAACTTTGTAATAAAAAATCTGCTAGAGTTAAGTGGAAAAGAATTTAATTATTACAAAACTTTTGAGACCTAAAGGATCGCAATTGATTAAATATTACATTCAAAATCAACAGTCAAGGACTTAAAGATCACAAGTCAATATATATGGATCCTGGATGAATTTTAATAATCAAAGGAACTAAAGACATACTTTTTGTTGTAAACGACCTGTAATAACATATTTTAATATCAGAAACAAAAAATTTTAATATTAATCCTTAATTTTCATGTTTTTGCATTTATAGGCATAAACACAGGTGTGTCTTCTTAAGTAGTACTCTAAAATCAAGCCATTAAAGTATTTGTAATCAGTGCATAAGTGACAGAGACCAGACTTTATCCGCAAAAGATTTCAAAAAGGTTTCTTTCCATGTGCTCCATTCAGACTCTAAGGTGTGTTTAATTAGCATATGTGTTTAAGCAAATCTTTTATCGAATCATCTAAAAACAATCTAAGGGCTTCGATTTTCCCTATAAATGCTTAGTCCTTCACATTTATTTTCGTATATTTGTATTCATTGCGTTGGATTCATCTTTTTTCCTTCGAATTTCTAAAGAAAAAATTGTGGGACAATTTGTTTAAATTCAGGTTTTATTTTCTTCGCCGGATTCTTCTTTTTTTACACAACTTTTCAAGCAATTTTACTAAGGTTTCGTTTACCTGGTGTGCTGAGGTACTTCGTGTACCTTTCATTGAAAGAGAAATCTTTTCTAGCAAGTAGTCTTTCACAGCCATATTTCCGCTTTCATCTATACAGGGTGTCACAAAAGTATGAAAACCTCCTAAAAGCGGGTGCCAAAGTTAAAAAATGAAGTTATTACATGAGCTTAATTTGGGTTAAATCGGGGTTTTATTTGAGCCTTTGGAGCCCTTAAAATAACCTTGAAAAAAAAAAAACGAAATTCATGTTTCAACGTAAAATTGTCAGCTCTTTTCAAGTTTGCAATAAGAAATACAGGGTTGCATTTGAAAAATCGATTATTGGGTCGCTGTAACTTTGAGGTTATGTTCAAAGTTAAATCCAATTTCGCAATTGGCTTCCCCATCAAAAAATACGTCGAATATGAAGTTTTAGATTTTTTTCTCCGCATAAGCCCGCTTTTAGGAGGTTTCCATACTTTTGTGTCACCCTGTGCAATATAGATTGATGTATGTGTAGTAGTACACTTGTCGCTGCTAGGTGGCACAGAGCGAATATATAATTTACGTGGATGAATTTATGATGTATTTAAGTAAAATAGACTTAAAAAAGCTTGTACTTTTGGAAGCCTCGAGAAAGGTGAATAAATAAAAGTGAGTTTTTTAAAAAGGAATCTCGACTAGTTTCTTTCACCTCTTTTCCATTAAACATCACCTCCCAGGCGAGACCTCGGTCGTACAGAGCAGGCAGTTTTTCGTAGCGGAAGAAAGTACGACGAGGCCTCGACGAACCGTAGCAGACTTAGCGAGAAGCGTCGAGAGTCGACCCAAGCGTTCGACAACTGCAAGATTAACGATATTTTCAGGTGAGTTTACCCACACGTTTCTACATTGCCTTTGTAGTTTCAATGCATTACCAATTTTTTTAAACTCTGATAATTAAATAAGATCTGCACGTTGCTAAGTAAATTGATATTTTTCTGGCGTGACGAAACTTCTTCCATCTTCATCGGTTATGGATTTTATAACATTACAAACAACACAACAACAATAAGCTAGTCAGTTAATTATTACTTATGATAATAATATTGAAAAAATGAATAAATTCGGTCAACGAGAAAAAATCAAACAGTAATTATAGTCTACAAATTCAAAATTAACACATAATTGAGCGGTCGTTGGCTCAGTTGGTAGCGTGCTACCCTCTGAGACAATAGACTGCTCGAGGAGCCTTGGGTTCGAATCCTGGCGGGGAAATCGGATTTTTCTGATTGCCGTTCGGCGGGATAAGAACCCATGTGCTCCACCTGTCTCGGGGCGGGTTTTTCCCTGGAGGATGAGGAGGAGGGTGTAGTGCATATGCACTACGTATACCCCCAGGTTTCCCCTGCCCCACAGGTCTTCGGGCCTGGGCAAATGCGAGACAGTAGGGAGGGGGGTATTCAAAACTCTTCCTGCGCACGGGCTCCAAGCCTCCTGCAGGCCCTTCTAAGAAGAAGGTGTCTTCTAAAAGAAAGAGAGAGAAAAAAAAAAAAAATTAAACCTATTTTTTGGTCAAACTGACCACCTATGCTTTTAACAACAGTCATGCACATAAGTGGCAGACGATCAATTCACGCATCTTATGTTGAATTGGATATATTACGCCATTTTTCCTGTATTCTATTCTAGGGTATTCAGACCAATCAATGACCGAGTACCAGTGAATGACCATTTTGAAAATATCACATGAAAAACAATTAAAAATGTATTTATATGGACGTAAATCAATTCTTTAGTGAACGATGCATCTTGTTTTCTATGTTCGATCATAATTAAACAAGGAAAAACGATAATTATTGCACATCCAAAAGTGGTCATTTACTGGTCGAAAGCGGTCAATCACTAGTATAAGTACCCTATAAGACTTTTTTGAGATAAGTCAAATTTGTCTGACATTTTTAGGTTTTGATAAGACCTTCAAATCTTTTTTTTAAAAAGTATCCAACAACCTTTTTTAATAAATATACAGTTCTTTTACTGTAAAAGCGACCTTTTTGTTCATTCACATATACACGGCGTTCAAGTGGGTGTGGAAAAAAAATTTTATATCAGAAAAAGGTTGGTTTTCATGTGCACAGTAAGAAGCAATAGTTACGATAAGTTTCTGAGAAATTTTTTTTTCCGATTTTTCTTGCGTGTTAACCCACTGACTCACAAAGTGACGAAATTTTTTGTTTGCGATTTTTTACCATGTTTAGGGCCTTGAAAAGACTTTGCGCATACGTAATTTTATGTAACATTTAATGCCCT